TTGGCGAAACCCCCCATTCGGAGTGACAATTTCACGCTCCAGGGATGCAGACAACGTCTTTGTTCCTGGATGTTCACTGCTGCCGTATCTCGAATTAATCCTTAACCAGAGTTTTAATAAGGCTCTCTTGGTCGTTCCTACTGCGCATGAGCTCGTAAACGTTTAAATAATATATAACTTCGTCATTTGTTGAAAAACATCTAAAGTTTCCTTAGTGGAGATCAAGGGACGACTTTCAGAGTATGATCCATCTCCGTTCAATTATGACTGAGTTCACAGATAAATTTAATTAGTGTTAGTATTTTTTTTAGATGTATTGTACATAGTCATTGTACAACGGTCTATTGCAGGTTGGCAGAGGTGGCAGGACTCTGGCAGAGGTCAGGTACGGTGGTAGTTGTTGTGGGTGAGAGGGCAGAAGTGAAGGCCGTACTCCTCCACCACAGTCTCCGTAACACAATCCACGCTCTCTACCTGGCTCCCCATGACCTGACCTTCCACTCCCCACCACGTACCAGCAACTCACGCCTCAGGAAGGTCTTTGAGAAGGAAGGTTAGAAGGTGTTTCACTTTGTAATAATACTTATATATATATATATATATATATATATATATATATATATATATATATATATATATATATATATATATATATATATATATATATATATATATAGATAATCAACACCTCACCCCGCCAGGATTCGAACTCACGGCCCACGAGCCCATGACTTTGACCGGGGAACGCTACCTCTGGACCACCAAGATACTAAAAGCAGTACTAGACTCTGTTATATTTCACACAAAGCCTGTTCAACGAGCTTATGGCGCCGTGAACCTGTAATGGGGACTACCCGTATCACTTAGGTGGTCAGAGAAACGTTTTACCAAATCCGGCTTCGAAACACGAGGATCCATTTATATTTCATTAGCCCAATAAAGCACGCGGACTTCTACATATAATCAATGCCTCACCCCGCCAGGATTTGAACCCACGGCCCACGACTGTGACCAGGGAACACAACCTCTCAACACTGTTAACACCCAGTTCAACAAAAAACTTAAGTCTCTATTGAGAGGCAAAGCTACTCTCATTAAACATCTTACTTCAACGTCCCCTCCACTGCCATACATGTACGGTTTAATCAAGACCCACAAGCCTAATAACTCTGCAAGACCCATCATCAGCTCAGTTGGGTCAATCTCTTATGAATTATCTAAATAGTTAGTTTCTTTACTAAATCCCCTAGTTGGCAACATTTCTAACTCTAATATTAAGAATAATATGGATCTGGTTGATTAACTCAATAACTTACACATTAATTAAGAATTTAAACTGGTCAGTTTTGATGTAACATCACTCTTTACAAAGGTCCCAGTTGATGATATTCTGGAGTTCCTCATAGATTCCCTGGATAATATTTCATTGCCTGTCTCGAAAGATGAATTCATAGAACTCATCAAACTATGTATTAAGGATTGTAAATTTGAATTCAATGGAGAATATTATGCTCAAAAATTTGGTATGGCAATGGGTAATCCACTCTCACCTGTATTAAGCAACCTATATATCGAATTCCTTGAAAAGAAACTATTAAGTAATATCTTACCACCTTCAGCAGTCTGGTTTAGATATGTAGATGATGTATTATGACTCTGGCCAAGTAAAGAGGACCTAAAAGCTTTCCTGCCACAATTTAATAACTTAGCCCCCTCGATCAAATTCACTGTGGAATTAGAGCATGACTGTAAATTGCCTTTCCTAGACTGTCTGATCCACAGAATAGGTAACACCTTTAAGTTCAGTATTTTTAGAAAACCTACTAATGTGTGTTCATACATTCATTATTATTCTGCCCACCATAATAGAGTCAAACAGTCAGTATTTTCAACAATGTTTTTACGTGCTTTGAGAATTTGCAACCCGGAATTCATTGATGAGGAATATAAATATATCTATAATATTGGCTCAAACTTTAAATACCCTAGATCTTTCATAGACAAATGCCTGAACATTACTAAGAAATCTTTTTATAGAACTGATCCCAAGCCCACCCATGACCATAAGAATCTCCTAGTATTACCATTTCACAAAAATTTCTCTCATTTTCCTTTACAACTAAAAACCTGGAACGTCAATGTGGCATTTAAAAACTCATGCACTGTTAAACAAATGTTAATCAAGAACTCCCCCAACTATACAAATGGCTGCATTTATAAAGTTCCTTGCAAGGAATGTAATATGTTTTACTTAGGCCAGACAGGTAAAGATCTTGCAACTATAATTAAACAACACAAATACAGTGTTAGGACAGGCCAGGAATCCAATGATCTGTTTGTTCATCTGAGGGATAATAAACATTGCATTCACTGGGATAATGCCTCCTCAATATTACCTTGTAATTCAATTGACAGTAGGAACATTATAGAATCTAGTCTCATTAAACATACCGAATCCGTTAACATGAATTTGAGTAATGGTATGTACAAATTGGACAATTTTGTAATTAAGAAGATTTGTAACCAGGTGAGAAGGTTGGGTCAGTCTCTCCCTCTGACCTGACTACCGACCGCTGCGGTGCCTTTGTAAAGATTAGTAGGGTCATTATCTATACCTCTGTCGACTTGATCTCACCCTCCTCTGTATATATATATATATATATATATATATATATATATATATATATATATATATATATATATATATATATATATATATATATATATATGCTGAGTAATCACAAGTGAAAAAATAAAACACGAAGTTCTTAAGCACTTTCGTGTAATTCACATCTTCAGGGTGAGTACAAACTAAGTAGAAGTTCAGAATATATATATATATATATATATATATATATATATATATATATATATATATATATATATATATATATATATATATATATATATATATATATATATGCAAGTAAATCACTGTATAGGTGATCTATATATATGATAACCACAAATATGTTCAAGCTTGTAATTACATCTTCAGGTGAGTACAGTCTGTACTCACCCCTGAAGATGTGAATTACAGAAGTGCTTGGAACTCGTGTTTCTTCTTTTCCTTGTTTTATCAGCATATATATATATATATATATATATATATATATATATATATATATATATATATATATATATATATATATATATATATATATATATGCTTCACCCAACTCAACATACACCCATAATAAGGGAGATAAAATGATTCTCTAGGAATCCCCTAGACTCCTGGTCTCAGTGTGTGACCATTCATTCACTCAGATAGCCTCAGTTTACACTCAGTGCTTCCATGGGCTGTAAGAGAGAACACCAGCAGGTGACCCTGGCCAGTAGATAATACTTCTAGCTGACCGAAGACACGTGGTGTTTTGCACCCACGTAGGAAGAACTGATCCCCCATTGCTGATGCTGGTCCCGTGTCGTTTTAGATGTCGGGAGCATTCGTTTACTCAAGAGATCCTTGCTAACCCCGCTAACCAGTGATAAGCCTGCACTGATCGTTCCTATCTCGACAATCGCCAATCATCAATCATCAACGGCAGTCGTCAAACGGCATTCATCAATAGCAGTCAAGTGGGTGCTGACGAAAACCCTCCAATGAACTCACTGTTAGCTATTGTTAACTTTATCATTGCCCTATCTAAACCCTGTCTGAGATCGAATGAGACTTACTTGTTATACTGCAATGTCGCAACACAGGTGACTAGACCACGTGACCGTTTTGTCCTGTCTGAATGCACAGCCCATCTTGTCTCTTCAAGGGCTGTAGTCCAACTGACCGTTGGCCGGCCTTGAACCCTCCGGGCGGCTTAGGTCAGTGACCCTATTTTTCGCATAACTAATAACTTTGTTGGGACATACATAACATTATTCAGACTGAGAAACGATCTACAACAACTTCAAATTTAATAATAGCCCCTTAACTTCATGAATCACGTCCATATTAATTCAATAAAGTATATTTAATTTTATATAGGCCTAATTCAAAATGCTCTCACTATGTAGCGTGCGGGAGCCACCGTCGCCTGGTCCTGATCACGTAGACTTGAATGACTCAGCGTATCGCCATCGTTGATATTTACCTCTATCACGCCCAAATTTCTGAATATTACACACACATATATATATATATATATATATATATATATATATATATATATATATATATATATATATATATATATATATATATATATATATATATATATATATATATATATATATATATATATATATATATATATATATATATATATATATATATATATATATATATATCTTGATAAAATCACACGGGAAAATGGAAACAACGGAGTACCTTAGCTTTCGTCTTTATTCAAGACATCTTCAGAGGCAACTGGATTACATGGACAGAGAGAGGCTTAAATATACAGGGTGACCTTAAAATCATGAGGTCAGGTCATAATGATGACATCCACTAATCCCCACACCAACACACGTAGAGGAGCTTAAGAGAAGGGTGGTGACGTGACTAGACAGGTCAGGTCAGAAAAAAGGGACCCACAAAATAACTATCATACATCAAGATCAAAGGTTTTCAAAGCATTTTTAACCTTGGGCCACTGACAAATAAATTTATGTAACATATTATCAGTTTTGAACTGACCATCACTAAGGTTTATTGATTTTAATTCCTTAATCAAACTAGCTTCAACCAGAAGTCTTTCTGTGACACAAGATGATTTGAATACTTCTAAGCTTTTTTCCCAAGCAATGGGTGATTATTATTCCTAACATGAACGAACAAGGCACTGCTTTCAGATGCAGTTCTGATATTATACTTATGTTGTTTGATTCTGAGCTGCAGTGTTTTTCCTGTCTGACCTACATAATTACAATTACATTTGCTACATGGAATACAATAAACACTTCCATTTACATTCAAACTTGGGCTATTCCTTATTAACATATTGGTAATGGTTGAGTCATACTTGAAAACAACATTAATATTTAGAAGCTTGAGGGACCGAACTAACGGGACAAATTCATTACGATAGGGCAGAGTCAAAATATTCTTAAGTGTAGGAACTTGTCTGGTTTGAGAGGAATGAAAGGATTTTTTAGCCCTTTTAAAACAACGATCAACAAACACAGAAGGGTACCCAAGTTTCTGTGCAATAGAACGAATGTGTTTCAATTCATCGTCAATAAATTCAGAGTCACAAATACGCAGACATCTTAAGAACATAGCAGAAAAAACTGACATTTTGGTAGACTCAAGGTGATTCGATAAAAAGTGAATGAAACTGTCTACCTGTGTGGGCTTTCTATATACCTTAAATTTATAGACGAAAGCTAAGGTACTCCATTGTTTCCATTTTTCGTGTTATCATATATATATATATATATATATATATATATATATATATATATATATATATATATATATATATATATATATATATATATATTACTGTAGGTGCGCTTGATCTAAGTAGATGCTGATAACCACAAGGAAACATGAAAACAATGAGTTCCCAAGCGCTTTCGTGTATTTCACATCTTCAGGGGTGAGTACAGGCTGTACTCACCCCTGAAGATGTGAATTACACGAAAGCGCTTGGGAACTTCGTGTTTTCTTGTTTCCTTGTGGTTATCAGCATATATACTGTATATGTGTGTTTGTGTGTGATTTGCAATTCACTTCTGTTATTTTAAAACTTTAATTTTGTTTTAAATACTTACATTATGTTATTATGGTTCATTTTCTTAGTTTTAATAGAGGTGTGCAACAGCTTAGTGACCTTAGTTTCATCCTTCTTTAACCCTCTACACAGCATCAGTGAGTGAGCGTGTGTGGGTGTACCGGCGGTGTCTGTACTGCAACAACGGGGAGGCGGACGTCCAACTTATCCACCAGTATAATATTACCTCAGTTCCTCAACCTACTGACAACCTCTTCAGAGGTGAGGTATCGTATATATTCCGCATCTATATTATGGGACATCTTTCATGTTTTCATTGAAGACATAATTATTATAGAGGAAAGTTTTTCATATAACACAGGAAGAGTGTGAACTATATTCTAAAGGCTATTTCTACTGGAGATTGTTTTTAATAAGATCAGATTTCAGTTTCAAAATTGACTGAGGTAATCGCAGGATATTAATTAATAAACCAATCACAAGTTTCACGGAATTACACAAACTATTTTTCTAATGTTTCGGTATTTTTTATACCAGTGTATCACATAGTATCACTTCTTACAAGTACTTTACGTTACCAGAACAAGTGAAAACCTTGAGGGGTCGAAAACTGAGGATCGTGACAGTGCCTTACTTCCCTTATATGGACTTTGAACGTCGCACCGAGGAGCCCGGCGGCATCATCAACCCAAAGGACTCAGTAGATACTCGTTTGATTTATGCCTTTGCGTCAGCACTTAATTTCAGGTATATGTCTTCGCTTTATTCTGGCTGCAGTTATCACTGTTTTATCACATATACCCGTGTACTACATAGTGTTCTTCATGATGTTACTGTTAATACACATTAAATTCATAATTTATGTTGAAGTGCCCTTGTAGATCACTTTATAATTACCAACAGTTACTGAGTCAGTAAATTTAATCAAAGAAAAATATGACTGTCCAGAGAGTTATGGTTTACATAACTGTTAATTGTTGTTGACTTAGTTTAATTATAAAGTATAATTGTTTTGCACTTAACTGCCTTACTGTATATCACCAACGTTAACGACTCAGTGCACCACCCAAATATCTAGGATCCTGCCGAAAAAAAATATTTAATGAGGCTCGAATCAGACAGTGTGAATTGTAAGTGTTTGGAACTAATGTGTTATCTTACACTGTTGTTACAGGAGAAATATTCATGAACTGGAATACTTGTTATATAAATTTATGTCGAACAAAACTTCTTAAGGTAAAGGTGAGCAAAATAACTTAAAGGTTATAATTTTTTATTGTATTTCATTAGGAAATGTCATTTCTTAAATGAGTAACTTTTAGATATATTTTGGTCATACGATATAAAGGAAGTTAGTATACACAATTGAATAACCTCCATATATTGTACGAAGCTATAAAATTAATATATGTTAGTTTCTCTCATTAACAGTTTCGAGATTCGCGAGGAACCTGAACAAACATGGGGCCGGAAAACAAATGGCAGCTACAGCGGGATGATGGGTCAACTTCAACGCGAGGAGACGGACTTCTCTACTATATCGGGTGCTACGGCTGAACGTTTGAAAGTTGTGGAGTATTTAAGGGGGTATCCTTCCGATCTAGTGACTGTGATTTCTTTGAAACCCTCGCTGTTACCGCAATACCTGTCACTAACCAGACCATTTGAAGGTACAATATGTACTTTTTGTAAAGCCACCTGTTCTCCCCTTTGAAAACCACAAACCGAGAATATTTACGTAAGCTCAACTTCAGGGATCTGCAGTTAGCGCAAAACAGAACATTAAATTCATAGACTCACTATGAACGTCTTTGGAATACACATAGGTTACTAAAACAAATATCGTGCCATGTTTGAGCAGCTGTTGAAACACAGCTTCTTGTCCGATCAGTGAAGTTAAACAACGTTGGGTTGGTTAATACTTGGACTGGTTATCCTAAGATCACCAGAAGCTGCTCACATAAGAACTCTTCTGGAAACAAGCCAAGCATGAGTTTATCAGCTGTCATTAGTCAATTTGACTGAATATCAAATATTATTCTCAGTGGGTGGTATAAATCATAATTGAGATTTTTTTCATATGCCATGTTATTCAGAGAGATATAAGAAACATTGGACCTGTAATTTATTCTAAGGGTGACGATATTACTATGTCAATTGTGGTGTCAATTGCATTCTAAGCATCTAAGAATATCGGGACTCATCTACACCATCCAACAGGAGAACTTTGGTTAGCGCTTATGGTGAGCGTGGTAGCGTGGGGTGGGGTTATGTGGATACTGCAGAGGACATGGCGGTGGTTTGCAGGCGGTCGTCGTGTAGATTTCAGCACCACACTCTTGTATGGCTGGGGCGCTCTTCTGGAGCAGCCTCCCCCAGTTCTGTCTGTCAGTAATTCAGGAAGGGTAAGACACATATGAGGTTCTACTGATTCCTTATGTTTCCTGAAGTTAATACATTTTGATAAGCCCTTAATCTTGTTTGAGCTAGTAGCGTAGTGTACCAAGCGTTACGTACATTAATGGTGACTATGTGATTAATAATTTAAAGTTATACTGAGCTCGTGAGTGTTGGGGTGATGGTGCTTGTCTGGCAATAATCATCTTGCCACAATCGTCATATTATTTACAGCTGTTGGTGGGTTGGTGGCTGGTGTTCTGCCTGGTCATCACCACGGGCTTCCGCTCATCACTGGTCGCGCACATGACAGTCCAGGGGAAGACGCTGCCTATTGAGACCTTCGAGGACCTGGTGAAACAAGACAACTGGAAGTGGGGTATTGAAGCGTGGTTATTTAAAGGCGAACCTTTGGATTACTTCTCCAAGCACACTGACCCGGTAGTACAGAAGTTGTACAAGCATATGGAGGTTTGTCCAGAAACATTTGTAAACATAGCAACATAATATATACGATAAAAATACCCATAATCTCACACATATACATTTATTATCAACAAATGGTACTGATTATCATGAATACTGTCGCCCGTACTGTTGTTTTTGTTAGTAAATTTAACGAAGGAAATTCACAATGTAGACAATCTTAGTTAAGAGCTCTTAATGCCATGGACCACAGGTGCTTGAGGTAGACGAAGCCCTGGAGAAGGTACTGGAGGGCGGCTTCACACTAGTGGACTTTGACAACTATGTTAACATTATCGTGGCCTCTCGCTATACCGACGCCCGTGGCTACAACCCTTTCTATGTCAGTAAGAAAGGCGTCTCCATCGTAGCTGCCTTTGGATGGAGTTTCCGGTTGGTATTTTACGTTTTACCGGCTTCTCTTCCCTGTGTCTCATCCTTGTCTTTTTTTTTCTTCCTCTTCATCCTTATTTGTTTCTGTTGAGAAAAAGAGAAAAACAAGAAAATTGTTTCCTAAAGTTCCATTTTCATATTTTTTCACAATCTCAAAAAAAAAAAATGCCCTTTTTTTCGAAAAGTTTATTAGAGTTGATAATAGTTTCGAGAAACTTCAAAGTTTTTCCAAAATGTTCTAAGGAACAAATTTACACCCAAACCTCTCCATTGAGAAAAAAAACTAACCCAGTGAACTAACGTCGTCAATAACAAGCATCAGTCTTAAGAGGGGATAAATCGTTTGTGTTGGTCTGTTTTCTATTAAGTTACTACCAGCTGGGGTAATACTCGTATATAACTCTCTTGGATTTATGATACAAGACTTACTATTTTCACCGTTTCCTTCTATTGTTTTCAGGAGAGGAGCACCATTCATTCATCGGTTTAAACAATTGATAACACGGCTGGAAGACACTGGTATTATAAGTTACTGGATTGAGGATGTGATCGCCAGGCGCGTGAGGGAGAACAGGGCAGCTGCAGCTATGGACGTCAGATCTGCCAAAACAGACACAACACAGGCAAACATTACCATCTGTTCCCGTGCTACTTTTTAGTTATATACGAGTATAACACAAACACTTTCGAATGCAAAATTGGAAATCAAAGTTTCATGATATTGCTTGTGTGGATATGTATGGGTTTGTATATGTTTAACTCAATATAAAGGAATGTGAAGGGGAGAGGTGTTGTGGGGCGTGGTGGGACGGGATGGGGAGGGGTTGATTGGGCTTGGATAGGCTGGGCTATGGTTGGCTAGGTTAGGATAGACTGTGGTGGGCTGGGTTAGGAGTAGGGCGTTGTGGGGCGGGATGGGGAGAAGTTGATTGGACAGGGGTAGGCTGGGCTGTGGTTGGCTGGACTGAGGTGGGGGCAGTGTGGGTCGGAGTGGGTGGGGTGGTAGGGGAAGGCATAACTTTGGCTCCTAAGTATTTATGTTGGAACTCTATTGCATAGTTTCTTCATTATAACTTTTCATACTGAGAGAATGTTATGGTTGGGGGAACAACAAGGTAGTAGTTATTATACAAGGAATCAGAAACCAAAGTCAGATTTCATGTCTGGTGGGATTTTAGGTTGAAAATATTTGGAGGTCAGATGTTTTATCATGAGAGAGAGAAAATAAAAAGATGACTCTTTCACACCAGCCGCCGTACGGTATGCATTATGTCACAAAAGAAGTTTGCAAGGTTTCGTGCAAACAAAAATTGGAATTTCATACATAAATACATGTATAACGAGGAATGTGTCTATTCCCCAGGACGACAACAAGGTGCCGTTGGGGCTTCACCACATGCAAGGCGCGTTTTATCTGTTATTTCTGGGCTCCGGGGTCGCCTTACTCATCTTGGTGGGGGAGACCTTCACCCACACTCCGGATCATTGCCTTGGTAATAATTTTCTTATTAGCATCAGACCTCGGGCCAGGCCATGAAGGCATAGGGAACTTAAAATATATGATTAATGGAAACTGAACTATCGATTTTTATAACATTGATAAGAGGTGTATCAACCAGTGCACAACAAACGATAACTAAATTTAGTATTTCACCTTGAGCTTGAGCTGTAGGATGATCATACACCAATTTCTGGTTTGAAGCTCAAAATAAATATTATATGTGGGCCTAATCTTCTGCACGATCTCTGTATTCTTAATATTTTGTTGATGCATTTCCTTTCCTTTCAGGTCTACTACAGTAATCCCTTTGTTAGGACAAAATTCAGATTTTTTTTTCACTCAGTGACAAAATTAGTTTTCCTTTTAATAGTCAGTTTTGACAAGTAACCTCAATTAATTTTTTTTAGAACTGAAGAACTGAGTTTTCATACCTGGTTCTACCATTTTTGTTATCGCCACCGACTTCCGACCTTCATGTCCCGCAACAGTTTTACTTCGATCACTTCAAGTCAAACTGTCACGTGACGATGGTATACTGGAAGCCGAACCAATCACGATAAAAATGTTAAAGTTGTCCTCCATTTGACATAAATATAATTTTTTCATGAACCCATGAAAGTTGAGCGTCACATTTTTTAACATCCTTCACTGTAATTTTTGTTTGTTGATGCGCTTAGTTTGGTTATCAGAAGCATTCATCATTATATATGGGTAGTATTTTCAGGGATCCGTGTTGCATTGCTGCAAAATTGTGTTTACATTCATGACATCAGGCAATAAAGTTTATATGTAAGCAAATATCTTCGTATTGATATCACTCAACTTTCTAGAACATATGTTCATATACATTTGGATACATATATTATATTCCTTCACCATTGCATGGTATTATTTATCGGTACTTATTGATTGAATTTTATTATTGACTCAACGCCGATACATTTGTAACATACATCGCACAATACGCGTAGAAAAGTGATTTGCTCACACCAGCCTAATTTTTCTCAACATCCATTGTATGACATATTCTCCGGCAACCAAAGTATTGTATCTTTAGCATGATATCCTTTGTACAATGTGTAATAAAGATTCCCACTATTCAAAACATACGAACAGCCCGTATGTCAGTGAATGCTATATAAAACATACGAACAGCCTGTATTCGATAGCACACAAATTAACATGACAGTAAAATGAAGAATGTTAAGATCACCTGACTAGGTTGTCACAAGAAGCCCATTTTACTATCATAAAATCGTAGATATACAGAAGCTTAGTATCAATTCTTTAATAATTTTTTATCGAATACAATATATTTGATTAGGGAATTAAATTCTATAAACCTTAGTGATGGTCAGTACAAAACTGATAATTTGTTACACAAATTTATTTGTCAGTGGCCCAAGGTTAAAAATGCTTTGAAAGCATTGGAGTTAGATGCAGGATAGATGACTAGTGGGTCCCCTATTTATGACCTGACTTAACATGACTAGTTACGTCGCCCTCTCTTTTAAGCTCTGATGAGGACTCAGCAAAACTACAGGAAAATCTAAACAAATTTTTTGAATGGTCTGAAAAATGGCAGATGAAATTTTATGTGGACAAATGTAAAGTACTCAGTATAGGAGATGTAAACAGGGAAACCAGTTACCAGATGAACAACGATGTCATTGAGAAAACCGACTGTGAGAGAGATTTAGGAGTAATGTTGAGTAGGAATCTTAAGCCAATTAAACAATGTGTTTTTGCTCGTAACAAGGCTAATAAAGTACTTGGGTTCATACAAAGGAGTGTTAGTTACAAGTCTAGCGAGGTCATCTTAAGATTATATGTTGCGCTTGTGAGACCTCACCTGGATTACGCAGTTCAGTTCTGGTCACCGTATTACAGAATGGATATAGAATCCTTGGAAAGAATCCAGAGGAGAATGACAAGACTAATCCCGGGCATTAGGAACTTTGAGAACAGAGACAGGTTAAAGCATCTTAATTTGCACTTCCTCGAGAGACGTAGAGCGAGGAGAGCCATGATAGAGGTGTATAAATGGAAGTCAGGGCTAAACAAAGGGGACATTACAAAGGTACTCAAACTATCCAACCAGAAGTAAACTCGTAACAATGGTTTTAAATTAGACAAATTTAGATCTAGCGGCAAAATAGGTAAACACTGTTTTGGAAACAGAGTAGTGCCAGACTTGTGGAAACAGGCAAATGTAGTACTCATATTCAAAAAGGGAGACAGAGCATCAGCGTCAAATTACCGGCCGATCAGTTTGACGTCAGTAGTGGGGAAATTTCTTGACTCAATTATAGCAGATAGCATCCGATCGCATCTAGAGAAAAGCAAATTAATCTACGACTCTCAACATGGGTTTACAAAGGGAAAATCTTGTTTACCAAATCTGCTGACGTTTTTTAGGAAAGTCTTCGAGGTAGTAGATAATGACGAAAATTACGATGTGATTTACTTTGACTTTAGCAAAGCATTTGACAGAGTACCGCATCAGAGGCTTCTGAGAAAAATTAAGAGTTATGGTATCAAGGGGAAAGTTTTAAATTGGATAAAATCATGGCTCATCGATAGAACGCAGAGGGTCAGCGTAGATGGTGTTAAATCTGAGTGGGGTCGTGTAACCAGTGGGGTTCCCCAGGGGTCAGTACTAGGCCCACTCTTGTTCATAATCTACATAAACGATCTAGATATTGGGATCAGCAGTGACATAAGCAAGTTTGCGGATGACACCAAAATAGAGCAGCATATTAATTCAGGGCAGGATGCAAATGCACTACAGGAGGATTTAAATAAATTGCAGGAGTGGTCATAAAAATGGCAAATGAAATTCAACACCAGCAAGTGCAGCGTACTTAATATTGGTAGAACAACTACTGTCAACGTACAGCCTTAGCAACATCAACCTAGAAAGGTCGATTTGTGAAAGAGACTTAGGGGTACTTGTAAACCCGAACCTACGACCTAGAAAACAGTGCGTTAATGATCGAAATAAGGCAAAGAGAGTATTAGGTTTTATATCTAGAAGTGTAAGTAATAAGAGTGCAGAGGTCTTATTGCAACTATATCTTACGTTAGTCAGGCCGCACCTCGATTATGCGGTTCATTTCTGGTGCCCTTATTATAGAATGGATATCAATTCACTGGAGTCGGTGCAGCGAAGAATGACGAAAATGATTCCGGGACTTAGAAACCTTCCATATCAAGATAGGTTAAATAAGTTAAACTTGCATTCCCTAGAACGACGAAGAGTGCGGGAAGATATGATAGAAGTATTTAAGTGGGTGAAAGGAATCAATAAAGGGGATATAGATAAAGTTCTTATAATATCCGAGCAGGATAGGACTCGGAGCAACGGATTCAAGTTGGATAAGTTTAGGTTTCGCAGGGAGATAGGAAGAAACTGGTTCACAAATAGGGTGGTGGACGAGTGGAACAAGCTTAGCAACTTTGTAGTAAGTGCGGGACCTCTTGAAAGTTTCAAAAGAAGGCTAGATAGATTCATGGATGATAGAGAGTGGTAGTAACTCTCGACAGGAGCTGCCATGCACAGGCTAACCGGCCTATTGCAGACTCCTTATTTTCTTATGTTCTTATATGCTGATAACCACAAGGAAAGAAGAAAACACGAAGTTCCCAAGCGCTTTCGTGTAATTCACATCTTCGTGAATTACACGAAAGCTTGGGACTCATACTAGATCTACAGTGATTTACTTGCATATATATATATATATATATATATATATATATATATATATATATATATATATATATATATATATATATATATATATATATATATATATGTATATACGTATATATAAAGCAAGGTTCACATTTTTTCATAACTCTCAAAATTTTACCTTAAAGACAATCCTATATTTCAGGAGTGTAGATGCAGTAATAAGGTCAATAGTTTAAAATACAAACATATCTCCACCACCTTATAATATGCACTTTTCAAGACATCTAGCTCTATAAATTTACAATGCTGAAGTTATTAAATAATGCAGGAAGGACCAAAACTAAACAAAATACTTCTGCGTTTTCGCTTCTTTCTATTAAATATTATCGCAATTTCCAATTATTTAATAAAAAAAATTCAGTGCACTGACACTAAAGAAACAACTACAAACAGTGGCTCAGATACTGTTTTTTACCTGATTTCTATATTGTTTATGTGTGCAGTACAGGGTATGTAGTGAGAAGCAATAGTTAGTTTAAGTTCATGTAGAATTGGGAAGATATAATTAGTACAAAATTATCAAATTTATATTGTATACATAATGCACTAACTGCTGACCACCGCGGGGGGCAGGATAAACAGCTGGTTTAGAACTACATATATGATTCAGTCCTTCTCTCTACATGATTTACTTCATTGTGCAGCTGGAGCGGGATAAGTGGTAAGCTGAAAGAAAAAACAGATGGCGGAAAGAACCAGGAACCAAATCCACAAATATTACCTTGACCCAGTGAGACTCTGGGATCCTGGGATAACTATGGGTAGGAGTTCCAGAAAGAGTTGGGCTCAAGATCATTTAAACAATCTGAGATTCCAAGGCATCGAGCTAAAGGGAGTCTATGAGCAGTGATATTATTCTCCCTCACAATATATATATATATATATATATATATATATATATATATATATTTCATTAGCCCCATAAAGCACGCAGACTTCTACATACAATCAACACCTCAACCCGCCAGGATTCGAACCCATGGCCCACGAGCCCATGATTGTGACCGGGGAACACTACCTCTGGACCACCAGGATACTAAAAGCAGTACTAGACTCTGTTATATTTCACACAAAGCCTGTTCAACGAGCTTATGGCGCCGTGAACCTCTAATGGGGACTACCAGTATCACGTAGGTGGTCAGAGTAACGTTTTACCAAATCCGGCTTCGAAACACGAGGATCCATATACATTTCATTAGCCCAATATATATATATATATATATATATATATATATATATATATATATATATATATATATATATATATATATATATATATATATATATATATATATATATATATATATATATATATATATATATATATATATATATATATTTATATATATATATATATATATATACAAAGTAATGTTCACATTTTTTCATAACTCAAAATTTTACCTTTAAGACAATTCTAAATTTCAAGAGTGTAGATGCAGTAATAAGGTCAATAGTTTAAAATACAAACGTGTCTCCATATGCATCTGGATGTAATTCTGTGAGCACATAGTCGAGCAGCCAATCGGTGCGCAGTGTACTTTGACGTCTTGAAATAGCTGCTGGCACCTGCGCGTCCGAACTACTTCCCGCTCATATAATACCCGACTGACACTAGGGAAGACACTCCTGTCACGGGGCTGAGGCGAGGAGGACGTTGGCACCTAAATCAATTGCGTAAGTAAATATCTTGAAGCCAGTTGTTTTAAATGTCTTTGTAAATTATCCTTTCATATACCGTGCCTAAAATCATAACTTCGATGGTATGGAAAAGTGTTGAGTAAGGATCAGGAAGAGAGGAAAGTGTCTGGGGATTATCAGGAAATTGACGGAAGGAAAAACATTTTAAACATTAAAAAAAAGATTATTTTCTTACGATGTTTCTTTAATATAGTAAACATTTATTTTCGGGTTTTCATAAATTTTATTACTACCTCGATGAAACTCTGTACCCTCAGTCGACTCTACCCTGATACAAATCTTTGGAACTCAAATATTGTTGCGTATCTGCCGAGCTTTGTCTGTAGTTGCTTTTATCTTCAGTTTTCTCGCAAGATTTTCTTGGCTGGCTTTAGGTACATGAGTAAGATTAACTTTATCGTCACCTACATAAGTGATACGCTTATAGTTATGTTAGGTTATTATTTGATGTCTTGACTGACTCTTGACAATGAGTATGGGAAAACGAATATGTGGAATTATCTTGTGATCTTTAGGTGAGT